CAACACATGTACGGGATGCAAGAAGTACTCGTGCATAATACCATGAGAGCAATGGTATGGGCATATAATGTTTGTTTGAAGACTTCTTCTCCAAAAGATTATTCTTTGAATTAACACTGAATAAAGAGCAGAAGAAAGATTTGGAGCATCTAGAAACCATAAGAGTTAAATGTGTATAAATACTTTCTTTCCAGAGTTGCTTATTCTCTTGTTTTTTCATCGCAGCAATAAAAAACTTAAGATATTGCCACATTTTAAAGTATATATATGGAATAAACAAGGGCAAATATGAGGCAGTTAAGTAAATATAAATTAAGAAAATGTGTCTTCTCTGCACTCTATTATTTTTGATTTTTTAAAATTTTTATTGCTTTATAAAAAATACCATTCAAAATTTCCACTTCCTCTCCTCCTCCCATTACCCTCCCGCAACCCCACTCACCCTCCCTCCCCCCCAGTCCTAAGAGAGGGCAGAGTACCCTGCCCTGTGGGAAGTGCAAGGCCCTCCCCATCCATCCAGGCCTAGGAAGGTGTGCATCCAAACATACTAGGATCCCAAAAAGCCAGTACATGCACTAGAGACAAATCACAGTGCCATTATCAATGGCTTCTCAGTCAGCCCTCATTGTCAGCCACACTCAGAGAGTCCGGTCTGAACACATGCTCATTCAGAGCCATTCCAGCTGGCTTTGGTGAGCTCCCACTAGAACAGGCACACTGTCTCAGTGGGTGGACGAACCTCTCACGAACCTGACATCCTTGCTCATCTTCTCCTTCCTACTGCTCTTCAACTGGACCATGGGAGCTCAGTCCAGTGCTCAGATGTGGGTCTCTGTCTCTATACCCATCCATCGACAGATGAAGGTTCTATGGTGATATTCAAGATATTCATTAGTGTGACTATGGGATAAGGAGAGTACAGGGACCTCTCCTCTACTGCCCAAGGACCTCTCTTGGGACATCCCCATGGCCACCTGGGAACCCAACTAGAGCCAAGTCTCTTGCCAACCCTAAAATGGTTCCCGTAATATAGATATCTTCTTCCCTGTTCCCATATCTGTGCATCCTCCATCTCAACCGTTCCACTCCCCAAAGCTCTCCCAAATCCTCCCCTTCTCCCTTCTCTCTCCCCCTTTCCCGTTTCCCCCACTCCACCCCCACCCCCATGATCCCAACTTTTGCCTGGCAATCTTGTCTTCTATCAATTTCCAGGAGGATCTATGTATGTTTTTCTTTGGTGAGCACCCACTAGAACAGGCGTCCCTAGGATTGCGAAGTATAGGCTCAATGTCCTTTGTTTATGGCTCAGCATAGGATTTTCTGTTTCCATCCATTTTCATGCAAAATTCAAGATGTCATTGTTTTTTTTTTGTTTTGTTTTTTTTTTTTTTTTTTTACCGCTGAGTAATACTCTTATGTGTATATGTGCCACACTTTCTTTATCCATTTTTTCCATTGAGGGGCATCTAGGTTGTTTCCAGGTTCTGGCTATTACAAATAATGCTGCTATGAACATAGTTGAACAAATGCTTTAGTAGTTTGATTGGGCATCTCTTGGGTATATTCCCAAGAGTGGTATTGCTGGATCTTGAGGTAGGTTGACTCCCAACTGTCTGAGAAACCATCACATTGATTTCCAAAGTGGTTGCACAAGTTTGCATTCCCACCCACAATGAATGAGTGTTCCCCTTACTCTACATCCTCTCCAACAAAGGCTATCATTGGTGTTTTTGACTTTAGCCATTCTGACAGGTGTAGTATGGTATCTCAAAGTTGTTTTGATTTGCATTTCCCTGATCGCTAAGGAAGTTAAACATGAGCTTCAGTATCTTTTGGCCATTTGAACTTCTGTTGAGAATTTTCTGTTCAGTTCAGTACGCTATTTTTTAATTGGGTTATTTAGAATTTTAATGTCTAGTTATTTCAGTTCTTTATATATTTTGGAGATCAGACCTTTGTCTGATGTGGGGTTGGTGAAGATATTCTCCCATTCATTAGGATGCCTTTTTGTCTTAATGACAGTGTCTTTTGCTTTACAGAAACTTCTCAGTTTCAGGAAGTCCCATTTATTCATTGTTGCTCTTATTGTCTGTGCTATTGGGGTTATACGTATGATGTGGTCTCCTGGGCCCATGTATTGCAGGTTACTTCCTAATTTCTTTTCTGTCATGTTCAGTGCGGTCAGATTTATATTGAGTTCTTTAATCCATTTGGACTTGAGTTTTGTGCATGGTGATAGATATGGATTTATTTTCATTCTTCTAAATGTTGACATCCAGTTATGGCAGCAAAATTTGTTAAAGATGTTTTCTTTCTTCCATTGTCTAATTTTAGTTTCTTTGTAAAAAATCAGGTGTTCACAGTTTGTGGATTAATGTCCGAGTCTTCGATTCAATTTCATTGGTCAACGTCTCTATTTTTATGTCAATACCAAACTGTTTTCATTACTGTAGCTCTGTAAAAGTGTTTGAAGTCAGGGATGGTAATGCCTCCAGAAGTTCCTTTATTGTATAGAATTGTTTTGGCTATCCTGGGTTTTTTTGTTTTTCCATATAAAGTTGTTTATTGTTATCTCAAGATCTCTGAAGAATTTTGTTGGGATTTTGGTGGTGATCGCATTGAATCTATAGATTGCCTTTGGTAGAATTGCCATTTTTACTATGTTGATCCTAAAAATCCAATAACATGAAAGATCCTTCCATTTTCTAGTATCCTCTTCAATTTCTTTCTTCAAAGCCTTAAAGTTCTTGTCAAACAGATCTTTCAATTCCTTGTTCAGTGTTACACCAAAGTACTTTATGTGCTTTGTGGCTATTGTGAAAGGTGATGTTTCTCTGATCTTGCTCTCTGCTTCTTTATTCTTTGTGTATATGAAGGCTACTGGTAATTTGAGTTAATCTTGTAACCTGCTACATCACTGAAGGTATTTATTTTACTGTAGGAGTTCTTTGATAGAGGTTTTTTGGGGTTACTTATGTACACTATCATATCACCTGTAAAGAATGAAGTTTGACTTCTTCCTTTCCAATTTGAATCCCCTTGATCTCCTTATGCTGTCTTATTGTTGTTGCTAGAACTTCAAGTACTTTATTGAGGAGATATGGAGAGAGTAGAAGCCTTGTCTTGTTCCTGATTTTAGTGGAATCGGTTTGAGTTTCTCTCCATTTAATTTGATGTTTTCTGTCAGCTTGCTGTGTATAGTTTTTATTATATTTAGGTATGATCCCTAATCCCTCCAAGACCTTTATCATAAAGGGGTGTTAATTTTTTTTCAAATGCTTTTTCAGCATCTAATGAAATGATCATATGTTTTATTTTATTTCAGTTGATTTATATGATGGATTACATTGATAGATTTTTGTATGTTGAACCAGCCCTACATCTCTGCAATGAAGCCTACTTGATCATAATTGATGACTTTTTGACGTGTTCTTGGATTCCGTTTGCCAGTATTTTATTGAGAATTTTGGCATTGGTGTTCATGAGTGAGATTGGTCTGTAATTTTCTTTTTTGTTTGAGTCTTTGTGTGCCTATTCCTCTATAGTATCTTCAGCACCTGAGATTCTTTCTTCTATCTCTTGTATTCTGTTGTTTATATTTGTCTCTGTAGTTCCTATTCGTTTACCCAGGTTTTCCATATCCAGCCATCCCTCGGTTTGTGCTTTCTTTATTATCTACATTCCAGTCTTCAAGTCTTTAACTGTTTCCTTTACCTGTTTGATTGCTTTTTGTTTGGTTTCTTTGGTATCTTTGAGAGATTTATTAATTTCTTCTAATGTTTTGTTTGTCTTTTCTTCCATTTCTTTAAGGGAGTTTTTCACTTCCTGTCTAAGGGTCTCCATCATTTTCATAATGTTATATTTAAAGTCAATTTCTTCTGGGTTAAGGTGTGCTTTTGAAACTGGTTGTTCATTATCTTTTTTAAAGATTTACATTCTTATAAATTAAATAACACAATGCTGCTATATCAACTAGAGTCATCTGAGAATAAGGTAAGGATATGGTGGCCACACCTTTCAAACTTTTGAAGTTTCCTACCAATGACATTTTTCCACATCTTTAAACAACCAATCAAAAACAACTTGTGAATCAGCATTATTTTTTTCCATTAATCTTCACATCAATTTTGAATTGGGTTAACTGACTACCTACTGATTTTCATACTAAAATATTATAGACTCAGCATTGTTATCTATAACAGACACCACAGTCTCTTTCTAACCAGAATTACAAATCTCAACATTTTTAGATCCTTACCACCTGCTATCCGGAATATCTTTCTGTGTAGTTGTTTTGTTCTCCTCACTGAATTCTGGATCACTCAGTTACAAGTGCTCTAGGAGAGCAGGCACAGCAGCTTCTGCCTTGGGGAAGATGTACTCTGATGAAGCATCAGAAAATCCCCTATATCAATTTCTTTGAAACAGCAAACTTCTTACATTAGTTATTTCCGCAAAGCTGTGACAAATACCTAATATATGGAATGTGAGAAATGGCATGGTCCCTATGCTTCGAATTTACTAAGGAGATGGCCTTTTCTATTTCCCATGTAGATTATATCCATATATGTCTCTCTTAGGGTTCTCTTTGTTGTCGAGGTTCTCTGGGATTGTGAAATATAGGCTAATTTTTATTTGTTTCATGTATAAAAGTCACTTATGAATGAGTACATATTATATTTGTCATTCTGGTTCTGAGTAAGAACCTATAATTCTGATGACAATACTGTATATTAAAACAGTTCTGAGGGATCTCTATAGAGTTTTTTATTTAGTTTTATAACTCTCAACGTATTGATTTTTAACACATGATACTTTCTTTTGAAAATGTACAGATGGGACTAAAGAGGAAGAAAGACATTTGGGGAAAGGAAACTCTATAGGCAGCTGTACCTTAATGTCACTGTGACTTTCTCAGTCTGATTGTCTTTGCAAAAATATACTAGCAGATGGAAACAATAAGATAGACAGCTGGTGACTCTGCTACATCCTTCAGGGGTTTATGTCATGGCTTGTATCACTGTGGGAGGAGTATTCCAATACTGTTGACAGTAATAAGTAGCAACATCTTCAAGCTGCAGGCTGCTAATGGTGAGAGTAAAATCTGTCCCAGATCCACTGCCACTGAACCTTGAAGGAACCCCAGATTCCAAACTGGCTGCATCGTATATGAGGAGTTTAGGAGAGCTGCCTGGTTTTTGCTGATACCAGGCTAACCCATTACTAATGCTTTCACTTGCCCTGCAAGTAATGCTGACTCTGTCTCCTAGAGATGCAGACAAGGATGGAGACTGGGTCATCTGGATGTCACATATTATGCCTGTGAGTGGAAACATACAAATAATATTCTTGGTTAGTTATGATAGAAATGACTTCTGTGAAGTTCCAGCTGCACTGATTACAAAAAGATAAACAAATTATCATAGTTGTCATTCCTTACCTGGGATCCAGAGCAGCAGGAACACCAAAAGCTGAGAAGGAGGATTCATGTCTATGCTGTATCGTGTTATTGACTGAATCTTAGACAGGTTATGACCAAGCTTTTAAGAAGATGTGAGTGAACAAATGCAAATCACCAGGGCCTTGTCAGAGCTGAGCACAGATGCAGGGATGTTTTATCTTAGTAACTCAGCTGGTTGAGGAGCAGGTGTCCCAAGCTAGACCAAAATGTTTCAGATTTTACTAAACACTGTTTTTGTTAATGTTATAGTTTATTACAAAAAGTGTTTTGATAATTTTTCAGCAGGCCAAAAGAGATTAACACAAGTATAAAATCCTTTATTCACATCACTTCTATACTAAATTGTTCCATTTTAAATAATGTGCTTACTCCTGCTAGCTGCTGCCATATTCCTCCTGTATTTGGCTTGGTGGGATTGTTATGTTAAAGGATATCACTGTATCTAATACACTGTGATTATTTCATAAAATATCTCCTCTCCTCCTTGTACAATTTACTTGCAGATAATAACAAAGATGATTTTTATAAGAGCAATGATGCTTGTTTAAATCTATGTTTTGATTAAACTTTCTGGGTCATCCTAAAAGATAGGGGTTATTAGGACAGTTAGTGAAGATGATTAATGATATGTTTTAGGTTTTTCTGCCAATTGCTCCAATAAGTGAACTGATTATGCCAGCTCCTCTAGAAATATACCCAACAATCTAACTACTCAATGATTTTAACAGTTCATCTTTTCTTGTTTTTAAAGAACTTTCCCATTCTGGAAGTTCAGGTGAACATTCTAGTTAAAGGGAGTAGGTGTGGTAGGGAACAGAGCTATCTCCCAAGGTCTTTTCCTTACAAGTACCTAGAAAAGTTTCTAATAAGATCTTCCGACTACTGGGTTTACATTTGTTCATTAGAGTGTCTATGTCAGCTCAGCCCAGTGCAACTACATCCTGGACAATCTTCATGACTATATAAATCTAGGATAATGTGCATGTACAAAGAGTAAGAGCAATGTTACATTCCACAGAGCAGAAGTCTAAGACAGACCCATAGACTTGAGGTGAGAAGTCAGGGAATAACTCGAGAAAGCATTGCCCTGAAGAAACTTGCTATATACAGAAACAGTGGAAATTAAGACCCATCACCAGGGTGGGCAAAGAACGGAATAAGACAAATCATTATCTGAAAGAGAAGAAATACTTTTGGAATGCTGGGGCACACATCAAGTTAGAAAGTACTAGATTGTTTTGGGGCATTGTGACATTGGATAGAAACAAAAAGTGACAAAAACCAATCTAAAACTTTTACTTTCCTACCTATATTTCTCCCTAGAGCACCAATGAACTAAAACATAGTTAAAGCATGAAAGCAGATTAGCAACTCTGAAAAATAAGAGCTGCAACCCAAGCATTTAACTAATCCAGTGAAGTAAAAAGGAATCTAGGCACAGTATGACAGTTATATAGTCAGTAGCTGGACTAGCAGAGATCACTTTTGGGGAGCCTGGGTTACAGTCACAGCACAGTGACATGTGGGGTACAGAACATTGTCAGGGATCCCAGATATTTGGTACTAGATCATAACCAATGTAACAGCAGAACTGTGGCCAAGTATCAGAACAGGGTGTCCTTTCCAGGCAAGGAACAGCAAGGGCAGCAAGCAAGTGATAAAGGTGGTCTTCCTTAAAGAATTGACAATAAATTTTTTGAAGTATTTTATTAATTTTTATTGAGAAGTACATTTTTTATTAAAAGTTCCCACCTCCCCTCCTCCCACTTCCCTTCCCTCCCCCCACCCCCTCTCTCCCTCCCTCTCCAGTCCAAGGAACAGTCAGGGTTCCCTACCTTCTGGGAAGTCCAAGGTCCTCCCCACTCCCCCCCCCCCGGTCCAGAAAGGTGAGCATACAAACAGACTAGGCTCCCACAAAGCCAGTCCATGCAGTAGAATCAAAACCCAGTGCCATTGTCCTTGGCTTCTCAATCAGCCTCAACCATCAGCCACATTCAGAGATTCCAGTTAGATCACATGCCCCATCAGTCCCAGTCAAACTGGACTTGGTAATCTCCCATTAGATCAGTCCCATTGTCTCAGTGGGTGGACACACCCCTCGTTGTCCTGACTTCCCTGCTCATGTTTTCCCTCCTTCTGCTCCTCATTTGGATCTTAGGAGCTCAGTCCAGTGCTCCAATGTGGGTCTCTATCTCCATCCAATGCCAGATGAATGTTCTATGGTGATATGCTAGATATTCATCAGTGTGGCTATAGGATAAGGTCAGTTCAGGCACCCTCTCCTCTGCTGCCCAAGAAACAAGCTGGGGACATCTCCTTGGAAACCTGGAAACCCCTTTAGAGTCAAGTCTCTTGCCAACCCTAAAATGGCTCCCTTAATTAAGATATTTACTTCCCTGTTCCTACATCCATCCCTCCTCCATCCCAACCATCCCATTCCCTCAAGCTCTCCCCATCCTCCCCTTTTCCCTTCCCTCTCCCCATCTCCCTTTATCCCCACCCCACCCCCACTCCCATGCTCTCAACCCCTGTCCAGCAATCTAGTCTAATTTCAATATCCAGGAGGATAACTATATGTTTTTCTTTGGATTCACCTTCTTATTTAGCTTCTCTAGGATCACGAACTATAGGCTCAATGCCCTTTGTTTATGGCTAGAATCCACTTACGAGTGAGTACATACCATATTCATCTTTTGGGGTCTGGGTTATCTCACTCAGTAAAGTATTTTCTATTTCCATCCATTTGTGTAGTAGTATGAGTGGCAGGCTCTGTCCCCGGCACCCAGGCTCCCCCACGGCTAGCTTTACCCCAAAATAATTACACAGAAACTGTATTCTTTTAAACACCGCTTAGCCCATTATATCTAGCCTTTTCTCAGCTAACTCTTGCACCTGGACTAGCCCATTTCTTATAATCTATGTAGCCCACGAGCTGGCTTACCAGGAATGATCTTAATATGTGTCTGCCTGGAGTGAGAGAATCATGGTGACTCACTGACTCAGCTTCTTTCTCCCAGCATTCTGTTCTGTTTACTCCACCCACCTATGTTTTAACCTATGAGGGCCAAGCAGTTTCTTTATTGCTTAACCAATGAAATTAACAGATTGATATATGACACTCCCCCATCACATTTGCATGAAAAATTCAAGATGTCATTGTTTTTTACCACCAAGTAGGACTCTAAAGTGTGTATGTGCCACACCTTGTTTATCCATTCTTCTATTCTGATGTGCACCTAGATTGTTTCCAGGTTCTGGCTATTATAAATATACAAATATTCTTGAGCCATACATTTTTATAATATGTTTTTGATTGCTGGCTACATAATCTCATATGGCAATCACTAGTCATGGGGGAGCTATAAAACCAGGTCTTTCAACAAAAACACAGTTTCTCCACCTCTGATATCAGTATCAGATATCATTTTCAGTGGAAAATCATTGGGAATTACCTGAATGATCTTTTATCTTTCTGTACACAGTCTGCTTTTTAAAATAATTTAGACCTAATGTTTATTTTTTTAAAAAGTGATTTCCCAAGTTTGCAAACGCAGAATTTTGGATAGAGATCAGCCACCCCAGAAACCTAAATATAGATGCTATTGACTCCTTGAAGAGCTGATTCAGTCTGAATAAATGAATATTCTTTTCCCATGTGGTACCAACTGAGATTCTCAAATTCATTACAACTAAACAGGAAGATTAAAGTGGCCATCTCTTTTGTAGAAACTATAAGAATGGCAAATTGCACAAATATTTTAATTAAATATTTAGGTAGTAAAATCCATATATGAAATCATACAGAAAATTTTAATAAACACAGCATCACTAGTAAATGTAAATTAATGGAGGCTCAGGAAAATGCACAGTCTGCCAATTTGTGCTTCCTAAATTTCTTATTGACTTCCCATCTCAGTCCTTCTGAAAAAGACATACCACGTTCCTAGGATTTTCCTCGAAGTTGAGTAGGGTTTTTTCTGCAACATCTTGGTCTTCCCACTGTTTTTTTTTTCATCTTGAACTATCATCAAACAGTGGAGAAGCACATGACCACCTGTTCTGATAAGATGTAGATGAGTACCCACCACTTGGGTGTTCTGGAAGACTTAGGCTTATGGTCCTCATACTGCAGATCCTGCAAGATTGGTGACAAGCTTCCATTGAGTGTCCTTGTCTTATAATACATAAAAGGCATTTTTTTGTCTCAGAATGAGGATCCTAAACATGGCATTATTAACCAGATTTCATTTCTTTCTATTAAATTTGCATTATTTTAGTGTGTATGTTCATATTATGTGCATATGTTAGCATGTGTTATGGGTTACCCTAGATATGAAGAATGTATATTTGTGTGGAGCTGGTCATTAAACTTATTATCTGACTTGAGTAGCAGGCAGATTTCACATATGCTTCAGATATGATGTGATTTTCATTAGAAAGTTATTTGGATTTACTCTGAAATTACCTTTACCATAATATAAACAAATGCATTAATATATGTTTTTTCTACTATACAAATTTTCAAGAATCCATTTCTTTATGGCATTTGGAAGTTGAATGTTGAGACTAAAGACAGCCAGATTATGGGTTTCATCACAAGTTTTCTTCTAATCAATTGTGTTAGTTAACAAGAGATATAGTAATAATTTTTCAAAAAAAATTATTTAAAACAATAGCAAAACGTGGGATCTCACATTGGATGACAGAATGCTACAATCCATTCCATGAGCTGACCTTTATCCAGAGTTTTTAGTAAGGTCTCTTCCCTTTGCCATTTTCTGGTTATAGAGGCTGTAAATTCTGAGATTTAAGGGAAGAAAAGAGAGAATACAGATCAACCTATCTGACTTTTTTTTTTACCATAACCTTATTCTGACCTCCTTGAATCAAGTTCACCTGTAATGTCTGTCGTCAGAATCACCAACATCCACCAATTTTGGCTTTCATGGGGCTTACATACATTATTTCTTATTACTGTGGAAGCAGTAATCACACAATTCATAATAGAAAGATATAACATTTGTAGACTGGAGGA